ATCATAATCATAGACTAGAACAATCACTCCAGGATTAGTCAGCTTAAGAAGAGACCCATACTGCTTCACTCTAGTGCTTATGATGACTAGAGGAGGTAAGCTGCTGTGCTGGTCCTCGTGACTGACTGAAGTGTCTAGTGGTCCCTGGTCTGAACTGGATAAGGATATTGTTGAAGCTTTATCAGCTGCAGCCATTCTCACTCTCTCCCACTATATCTCTCACTAGCTAGCTTCAAACACGAGCCCCACCCTTAACATGTTTACAATCAATGAATATAATTAAGATATTCATGAGCCACGCCCATGCATGAATATTAATGAGGTAGAGCTATCAATAACACATTCTCTAATGAAGTTCTCCTATCTACATAATACAAGAGATGAGTTTGGAAACCGTTCTTGCGTAGTTCATGTACACGTATTAGATTAATTAGCTCCTTACATTTTAATCCCATTGGTTCTTTAGCATGAGGAATGTAACCTTTAGTATCTTTATCTGCTGATCGCTGACCACATACTGCCCAGCTACTCATTAGTGTTATCAAGTGGAAATCAATTGAATTGAACCCCAGTTCTTTCCATAGCTCAATTCCATATATACTATCCCATTGACAGCGTTGATGACAGCACAGTGCTATTATAATGCCAGATAAAGGAGGTGTAGCTATAGGAGGTGTGACTGTTGAACGTTCCAAGTGATATCTGGTTAGACATCTAAGAGTTAAATCTAGACAATAATAATGATATCAACAATTTTTCTATTTAATGCCTACCAGTTGCTGATCCACACAAGTGTTTACTTACTGTTACTATGTGTTTGTGATTTTTAAAATTTTGATACAAACCTAATAAAATTAAGAACAAATGAAGAATTGGTCTAAAGTATCAAAGCATTATGTATCAGTACATGCATATAGTATGTTGTACTGGCAAGTTTTAATTTAGCAAATTTATGGCCATCATATAAAATTAATATAGCAAGGCTGGCATGCATCACAGAACACAGATGCAACAAGGGTAACACAGTGTGCACAAACAAACAGAAAAGTCATCATGTCATCAGTGTGCTTAGCGTATTAATGTTAGATAGCAAAGGCTAGTTTCCATATAGCCCCTATAACAGCCTTACAACACTGTTGCAACAATCGTGGAGGTCTATCTCTACAACAGTTGTATGCTAACTACAGAATCCATACAACAGCCACAACTATATGGAAAAGAGGCCTAATGTTCCCTATGGTTACCCAACCAGCCAACCTGCATATGGGTCAATTGTCCAGTAAGCATCTTCGATCCTCTTTCATAGGTGTTTGGTAAGGTTAATAAATCATTTAGTGCCTATATAGATTTCATTTGCTCTGTATTCAGTGTTGAATCAGGCATACCGGCTGCAAAATCAATGTGTATGCATCTTGTAGTTCAGTGCAGCTTATTAGAGGCTTCACTTGATGGTTCAGTTATTTCATTGCAACTAGAGTGAATTTATACTATTATATTCCTCAATAGCTCTGGAAATTTAGACAGTGGTCACTGACTCACAGACATGTAGACCTTGAACTGATTATTAGTAAATTCTGGGTCAAACAATTTGTACAGTTGTATCTATGGCCAAATAAAGTACCTCATGTTTCTCATTAACGTCAAAGGGAAGCTTGTTATGAATATCATGTCATCTAATCTAGATACTATAACAAGTATTTTTTAAATTTCATGCATTTTCATTGCCTACTGCTATACCAGGAGCAACTAAATAAGTAACAATGGCCATCAAAGTTGGTTTCATCTTTGGATTGGTCTGTTTTTCATTTGGCTGTGTTTGCTGCAGTAGTTTTTCAAGTGCTAGTAGCAACAGTAGTTTTTCAGGTGCTGCTAGCAACAGTAGTTTTTCAAATAGTTCTTCAGGCCCCAGTAGCAACAGTAATTCTTCAGGTTCTGGTAGTAACAGTAATTCTTCAGCTCCTGTTAAAGCTGCTCAAACCTGTCCAAATGGTTACTATTGTCCAATAGGGAAAGAATGTTTAGCTCCTCGTGATGCCCGTTGCACAAAAAAACAGAATTGCCCTCCTTTGGATAAATCATGTAACAAACAGCATGATAACAGCTACCTTATACAGATTGGTCATTCTAAGCTGTTTGGATTCCCTGGTTCTAAAAGGATTCCCCTTGAGCACCAGTTTGTCATATATCGTGGGTTTGCTTACGAGTTTGGAAAACCCTACAATACTCAAGTTCTGGATATAGCTGATCCATGGTACAAATACGCCTGTGGTAGAGGTCTTAACTCTAATGGAATACAGTCAGCCGGTACTAGTAGGTGCACTTATGC